CCCCCCCCCCCCCCCCCCCAACCAGGCGGTCTACGTGAGTAACGCATTAGTGCAACTAGAACCTTTTTTTATTTTTTTTTCCTTTGGTTGTTGGTTGAGCTACTTAAGGTGATGACGTCATTGCGAAAGACAACTTTGGTGGACGTCACATCCGCCTTTAAATCAGATTCAGGACATGGAGGGGGTGATTGGATGTGTTGAAATATTAACATGGCCCGGATGGTTGGATAGATGCATGGATTGATGGATGGATGCAAGTTAGGGAATAATCGATGGATTGATGGAATGACAGCTTGATGAGTATAACGATGGATCGGTAGACAAATGGCTAAATGAATAGATAGGTGTATAGATCGATGTATGGATAGAAGGTTGGTTAGATGGATGGATAGTTGGATGGATAGATGTATGGATGGATGAATTTATGAACGGATTCACGGAGGAAGTGGCAGGTGGATGAATTGGCGTAGTAAAGAATGGAAGGACAGATAAAGGAACAGATGGATGTAGGGATGACACGAGTTAAATAAAGTTGAAAAATGTTACTTTTAAAAACTTAACTCATGCATAACCCTACAGTTCTACAAGGCTATGTGCTTAACTCGTAAGACGTCTTCGTGCGATGAATTTTTCACACTATTATTTAACAGCCAGACAATCTAGTTTTCTCTTGACCTTTCAAATATAAGACTCTATGTCCATAAACGAAGATCCTGCTCTAATTTTCTCTTGACCTTTCAAATATAAGACTCTATGTCCATAAACGAAGATCCTGCTCTAATTTTCTCTTGACCTTTCAAATATAAGACTCTATGTCCATAAACGAAGATCCTGCTCTAATTTTCTCTTGACCTTTCAAATATAAGACTCTTTGTCCATAAACGAAAAGTCTGATCTAATTTTCAAACTAAAATAGGAGAGAAACTTTTTTATATACATATGATTATATTCTTAAACCTTTGATTTATCATCTAAATGAGATTGTTTATACACCAAAATAACCCACATTGACAATCTCACGTTCAAAGTCTGCCCATAATCGTTTATACCCCAAAATGACCCAGGTTGCCAATCTCACTTTCAAAAATCTGACTATGATCGTTATCCACCAAAATGACCCACATTGACGACCTCACTCTCAAAGTCTGTTTATCCTTAACGTGAAATCCATGCAACAAGCAATCCCATCCCAACACCGAGCCGCCCGGCATTTCTCTGATTATCTTTACACTGTTCACACCTCACATTTAAAGGACTTGACCTCAAGTCGGTTTCATGTTCACCACCGTACCACCGTATTTTCCCCACGTCTGTCCCCGTGTGTTCCCAGGCACTTCGTCAAATGTCCCTGGACGCAGACAACTGAATTTTCAGCTCGGGGGACGTCTCTGGACGATGATGACGCGTTCAAAGAAGCGGGGTAAAAAAAACACCGGTGTGTCTTAGATTGGGGCTTAAATGAAGGCTTAGATAACGCTGCCTTCCTCTTGGTGCGCTGAGAGAGAGAGAGAGATAGAGAGAGAAAGAGGGAGAGAGAGAGAGGGTAGAGTGTGCGTGAGATAGAGAGATAGATAGAGGGATAGTGTATGAGAGAGGGAGAGAGAGAGAGAGAGAGTGAGAGAGAGAGTGAGAGAGAGAGAGTGAAAGAGTGAGAGAGAAGGACAGTGTGTGTGACAGAGTGTGAGCGAGAGAGAGTGTGTGAGAAAGAGTGTATGTGTGTTAGAGAGTGTAAGAGGGAGAGAGAGCGAGGGAGAAAGAGAGTGAGAGAGAAAATGAGATTGAGAGAGAGTGAGAAATAGAGGGAGAGAGAGGGAGTGTGTGAGAGAGAGAGGGAGATTGAGAAAGAGAGCGAGAGAGTGGGGAAAAAATGAATTGAGAGGAACGAAAAGCTAGAAAGAAATAATTTTAAACAAAACGGAATTAAAAATAAAATCTTGATGAAGGATATGAATATTGATGACCTGTGTTTGAATACATGACGTACATAGCGTCATTCATTATTAAAAGAGCTGATCGTTCAGCATAATGAATTGTATAGCATAGTGTATTTGAAAATTTACAATCTCCTTGATGAATGACCTCATGGTGAATGGTAATATTAAACTTAATTTTACGACATTCGCTTGGTTTTTTTAACTGTACATCAGATGGGAATATCCAGACAAAAAAATCGAAATGGTTATTTTTTAGTACATAAGATTCCCTTTACAATACCGCTTGTTTGAGTATGGAAAACTATGGACACACTTGCAAGAGAACGGACACACTTGGAATAGAATGGACACACTTGGAATAGATGGAACACACTTGGAATATAATGGACACACTTGGAAATAGAATGGACACACTTGGAATAGAAGGACACACTTGGAGTAGAATGGACACACTTGAAATCGAAGGACACACTTGGAATACAAAAGAAACGCATCTACTTGCATGTGAACACGACACGTCTTCTGTTTCGGGCAGATAAGGCCGCCAAGAGCTTTTAATAGAATATATTGGACAATCGATGGAGAAATTAGGCCGGTAAGGTCAAACGCGTCTCTTATCCCACTGACCACTCGAGTCCCTTCCGGTGTATTTTTTTCTCCCTCTCTTCTATTTCTTCACTGATGGCGTATTATTAATGCTCGTTCCCTCCTGTCGCCATCTCTTGGCTTCTTCAAACACTCATCTTCTCTTGTCCCCGAATGCGGACTTTGAAATTAAGGAAGAATCTGGGGAACGCAAGTCACGTTTTTAAAAATTTCATTCAACACTGAACAATGAAATTATTATATATGTCAAAATAGTGAATTGTTCATATGTTTATTGAATTGATTACCCATAAAAGACTGTGCTTATCCAGTACAATGGACACGGAGCAGAAGACTTTAAAAAATAAAGAAATTTCACATATCTCGAAATTTCGTAATGTTTAGAAATGTCTTCATATATTGGAAATGTCGTCATATTTAGAAATGTCGTCATATTTAGAAATGTCTTCATATATTGGAAATATCGTCATATTTAGAAATGTCGTGAGAGAGAGTGAGCCATTTCTTCATCTTTAGAGATGTTTTCATATTTAGAAATGTCGCCATATTTATAAATATCTTCATACATTACACATTATTTTATGTTTAGAAATGTCTTTATATTTAGAAATCTCTTCATATTCTAAACGTCTTCATAATTACAAATGTCTTCATAATTAGAAATGTCTTCATATATTAGAAATGTCTTCATAATAAGAAATGTTTTCATATATTAGAAATGACTTCCTAGCAATGTTGGGAAATGAAAAAGAAGATAGATCTGTCATGGTTCATACTTTTTCTTGAAAACCAAAAACAGTGCTGCATTGAGTGAGGGTTGTGGTGGTCTCATCATCCCCCCCACCCCCTCTTTTTTCTTCCGCTACTGAAAATAGATTAATATTTTGTATTATATTGGGTTTGTTCCTTCCTTTTTTTTTTCTCCTACGGCTGGAGGACTGAGCTGTCATTACTCCCGCCATTCTCGAGTCCCTGTGGATCGGGCGTCGTAATGGTATAATCCCATTACCAAAGCTTGGCCGGCAAGCCGAGCTATAAACACAAACTCAATTTACACACTCAAATTGGAGACGTCAAAAAACGCAAAAGGATTTTTTTTTTTGGGTGTAGAGGAAGGGTGAGGGTGGGAACCAACGATAACATTCTCTGCCCCCCCCCCAACACACACACACAAATACATCTAGAGCTATCTTCAGATCTAAGTAACGCTGGGTTCAAGAGTTCTTCTGTTCAGATGCGGCTTGGGCGATGACGAGCATAAAGTAAACGATTTGTAAAAAAAAAATGCTTCCCATCTAATGGACGCATTGATATTAAATTAAAAACGACGATAATTTTTGTACCATAAATTTATTTTTGTTGATTTTCTTTGAAATAAAATAATGGAGGGTATTTATTGTTAATGAAAAACGTAGAAAGGCCATTGCTTAAAAGGAGTCCAATTAATTGCTTTGCACTCTTGACTTGATTCTGCATCACTATGAGCGGAAACTCACATATTCTGAAGTCATTTATATATATATTTTTAGATACAATCAGAGAAGGAAAAAAAAAAGCAATTTATGAGTTGAATTTTAAAACGAGTGTTTAGCAATGATTGGGTTTAACTTTGCATTTTTGATTCCACAGATACGCCCCCGAACGTATCTTTAAAAAAAAACCTGTGTTTTCTTGGCAGGATGCAGAGTGCAGGGCGAAAATGGGAAAACGCTTTGAGAAGAGATCCTATTATGGGTTCAGATTCACTCTGCGCCCCCCCCCCTCTTTCTCCTTTCCTTTCCTTGGACAGCCTCGTAATAGGCTCCTGATAGGACATTTCAAAGTGACTCAGATGGTTCTTTTTTTTTTTTTAATTTCCCAATTCCTTTAGGGGTGTTTAGGAGAGGATCAAGTTTTCCTTTCCTTGGACAGCCTCGTAATAGGCTCCTGATAGGACATTTCAAAGTGACTCAGATGGTTCTTTTTTTTTTTTTAATTTCCCA